AAGTCAGTATTCAGATAATTTTATTGATTGTTTAAATTACAGACCAAGAATTTCCCAGCTAAACGTTGCTCAAGTAGATCCTTTCTTCAAATGGAAATGAGATATATTAACCTTAAGATTTGTATCAAAGCTGAGAATTTTTTAACAAATTGTACTAACTAGGATAAAATTACTCTGAAAATAAATCAAAGGCAACAATATAATTGGAATTGATAATTTGATAATTGATGCATATTCATTTAAAATACGATCAGATCTGTAAACCAAAATGGAGAAACATAATAACTGGACAATCAAATTTATTATGAGACAGAGAAATTATTATATTCTATAGTGAACAATGAATATGGTAAACAACAGTTTATTCTGTTTCAAAAGATCTAGAAAAGAGGTTTTTGAATGTTTCCAACAAAGAAATGATAAATATTTGATGTCATTGATATGCTGATTTGATCACTGTACATTGTAGAATGTATCAAAATGTGGCAATGTGCCCCAGGAATATATACAATAATTCTATGTCAACATTTTCAAAAGTTTATTTTGTATGATGAACTCTTGTAAGTAATATGTATCTATGTATTAGCTTATTCTAATTATCTTCTATTTTTTATTCTAACTATAATAAAGGCATAAAGATTTACACATATTTAATAGTATATGTCAGTTAAATGATGAGAGGTCAGTTTTTTGTCTATTTACACATTCCCAAATGAATAATGATCTCATTTCTTAAAATGATTACATGAATAGAAGTTTTTCCATGTAACTAACAGACGTATTTGGCAGTAAGATAATAAGGATAAATAATACTATGTAATTTTCCCTAATCATTTATAATATTATGAAGGAAAGGCAAGTGCATATAGATATATTAAATTGTAATTATCAATTTCATGAGCCTCAAACTCAACCTTATAATTACTAAGATTGGCATAGTGTATTGCCTCTACAGTTTGTGGTCAATGCCTCTGACAGTTTAGTGTAGACTAGTTTTTCAATATATTATAACACACAGACTTTAAGATATATGTTCTTAACTATAATTACATTGGATTAAATTGATTATCAAGTTTAAGTTCATGGACTTAGGCTCTTGTCCACTTTAACTACATAGATGCAATATGTTTAAGAGAACATTAAGTGGACTACTTTTCATAGTTTCCATGGTTGGTTTTGTTTAATTTAACTGGTTTAAGGATATATGGATAATTAAAAAAACTCTTTACTCTAAGTGACTTTGTGCTCAGCAGATTGAGACCCTCCCTGTCTCAAAATTTAAAAAAAAAAAAAAAATGAAGGGATATGAAAAAAAAAAAAAAAAAACGGCAGCTAAACATGGTGATACAAATCTGTAACCCAAGTCACTCAAGAGGTTGAGGCAAGTGGATCACACAAGTTCCAGGCTACCATGGTCAAGTTGGTAAATGTCTGTCTCAAAATAAGGAGGAAAAAAGGCTGTGGGGAGCTGGGTGTTATTCAGTGGTATAGCACTTTTCTGATATGTGGGAGTCCATGGGTACATTTCTCGGTAACAAAAATAATTTTAAAAAAGGGAAAAAATTTAGTTAACCACATGAATTGTGCCATAAAACCAAGCAACCTCTGGGAGTAGAGAAAGGACAAGGAAATCAATTAAATTTGGGAAGGTACATTTTTCGAGTCTCTATTACAAAGGCTTAGATAGGTGATCTCTAGGATTCAATATTTATTCTTTTGAGTATAGAGCAAGCAGAATAAGAAAACAGTCAACACCTGGTGCTGCATGCGCAATGCATTCTGTTCTCTTTCTTTGGCTATAATGTCTTCAACAGTTTCAGAAAGACTAGTGATGTCAAACCAAGATTCAACCCTGGAAGAAAAAACTGATCATAAGTTAATTTATCAAATCAATTCAACTATATTAATACATGCATTACAATTTTACATTAATTTGCATATTATGGATATTTTGCCAAAAAAAAACCATTAGATGCAATTTGTAAATATATAGAAGACATTTGAATGACAAAGAAGAAGTGATTGTATTTTTTGAACCAACAATCAAGAACTGAGATTTGGCAGAAGGCTCAGAGTTCAATCCTGGTACTGAAGAAAAGAAAAAAATGGCTGAGGACATAGCTCAGGGGTAGAATACCTGCCTGGCATGTGAAACTTGGGTTTGATTCCCAGCACTGCAAAAAAAAAAATAATAATTAGTTTTATTAAGAGCTATAATCTGAAAGGGAATATTTTTCTTATTTCAAATATGTTAACATAATCTTATAATAGCTTAAATATCAAAAAAAAAGGAGGCAGTTAAGGTAGTTTCCTCCTGTAACTGAGCTACTCTGGATTCTGAGGTTGGTATATCACAAGTTTGAGGCCAGCCTCAGCAACTTACTGACATTTTTCCTCAAAATAAATAAGAAAAAGAGCTGGCTATGTTGCTGCAACAACTGCCACTATTATTAATCATTCCTGGGTTAAATCCCCAGTAACCCCCCACCACCCAAAAAACCCCACAAAGATTAAGGTACAGAGTTTTGTTTATTTGCTTTTATACTGGTAGGTATTAAAATCAAGACCTCAAGCCTTCAAGTGAATCACAAACCCAAAATACATAATTTATAAAATATTCTGTATGGTTACAAAATTAACAATAATGTGTAAAAGCCATGGCCATATGGTGTATTTCTATAGGTATTTATCTGATACATTTCAAAAAATATTTTTAAGTTTATCACAAATATAACTTCATAATATATCTAATGCATATCCTTAGTTCCATTCAATGTAAAAAAAAATCATTAAAGTGAGCAATTAAGTGTAAATATGTACATATTAATAACATTTCTAAATACTGTATTTTTAGTATATCAAAATTTGAAAAACTGCTACTTTTATATAGTAATGAAACTAGATGTTTTCAAACACAAATTGCCTAAAGTATGTTTTAAAACATTTCAATTCTCATCTTTTAAATATTCCAACTCAATAGGTCTCCACAGGACTTGAAAATATTGTCCTTGAATAAAAGTTTGCATAGCCATAATAACCAGCCTGAACTTGGGCACCAGTATTTCATGATCAGATATAGAATACATTTTCAAAATAAAACATTACAGCATTTCCCCATGATCGTAGAAGTAAATATCTATTATTTTGACCTCATTTTCTTGTATTTCCATGTGAAATATTTTGTCATTTTGTCTCCTCTTCCAATGAGTATACCTTTCCCATATATTTTTATGATATAATCTAAAATTCACACAATTGCTAGAATAAAACTGCTAGGTTAAAATCAGTAAACCTTGGTTTTAATCTTCACTCTTGTGTTAATTTAGTTATGTTCTATAATAACTTTGTGAATAGGCTTTCTTTTTTTTATTTTTTTAATTGTTGATGGACCTTCATTTATTTATTAATTTATATGTGGTGCTGAGACTCAAATCCAGTGCCTCATATAAGCTAGGTAATTGCTTTACCATTGAATCACAGCCTCTGTACCGTTTAGGCTTTCTTACATGTAAAGTTGGGAATACATTTATCATTTCTATCTCCATGGATTATTTAGTAAAGTTAAAAATAGGAAAATTTATCTAAAGCTAAGAAGAATTTGTGGAAGGTAGTAATTTTAGTTTTTCTTTAATAAAAAGAGGTAAGTTTTTTGTTGTGTTTTGTTCTGTTCTGTTCTGTTTTACAGTGCTTGAAAACAAAACCCAGGCCTCACATGGGTAGGCAAGTACAATCCCACTGAGCTACCTCCCCAGTCCAATGCAAGTTAATTTTTAAATCATCTTTTATCTGCTCTCACATACTTTGTGTCAAAAATGGAACACACATTATACCCTACAAAGAACATGAAAAAATAATCATTCAATTTAGCTACCTAGAAGAAAGGAAATAATGTCAGCAAAGAGAAAGGATTTTGAGTTTTTGGGGAAAAAAAAGAAAATGTTACATATTGTCTTACCTACCTTTTCAAGTAATCAAATACATGTGGAAACAAAAAGTTTAGCAATGACCAAAATTCTGATGAATGGTTTAGTAAGAGTCAGTAAAAGAATTTTGTTATCAGTATTGAACTGTTTTAGTTGGCATTTCATATTCTTAGTCCTGTGTCCTTCACCTATTATTAAGTATTTCCAGGGAAAATGATGGAAAATGAATAAAGGGAACTGAGGACCTAAAAGGTTCTGTCTCCTTCCCTGGAAGCTCTGGAACCCACTTCAGTTGAGTGGCAGGTGTGAATGAGAACACTCAGGTTTCAGCAGGGAGAACATCAGCAAGCCAGACTCACTGCCAGAGAGCACAGGCAGAAGAGTTCCCTGCCTCTGGAAGGGCATGTCTTTGGCTTCACTTTCAGGAGAGTATTCCGCAGAATTGAGTTAGGCAGTGGATAAAGTGTTCTGTCTGAAAATCCATCACTCACAAGCTGCTCCAACCCCCAGGTGTGGAGATCCTCCATTGGTGGGGTGCTCTGCAGTAAGAGCATTGGTTCAACAAACATGTCTGTCATACTAGTTGTGCCTGAGTTGGCAGAAGCTGTGTCCCTGCTGTGGAAAGTTTGTATGTGTTTGAAGTCAGGTGGACCCTTGTTGACCATCTGGCAGCCCAGGGGCTCTGGTGAAACAGAGGCCAGACCAGGAGTAAGAGGAAAGTTCTAAGCACCTGGAGCAGAAGGGACAAGGAGAAAATTGATGCCCAGGGTGGACCTATGGATGAGTGCAGAGGAGTGGGGAGGCTCAGTACCCAGGTAGAGGGTGGATATAGCACCCAGCTCAGTGCTTTGCATGTAGCCATTATTTGGTCAAATTTTTCAACCCTCCTTCAGCTTACCCCTCTTTCCTATGCCCACAGAGCCCAGTCTGCTCAAGACTTCCTGAAAGATGGATGCCAATATTTCCTCCCTTAAATATGTGAATTTACAAGTTTATACTTTCTTTGGGTTTAATTAGTTGTGATTTTCCCTCTTATTTCTTGAAATGAATAGTTGCTTCCTTAATTCCCCAGCTTCTTTTTGAAGCTTTGGGGCTCTAACATTTCAGTCTCACAGTTGTATCTGCTTCATTATTTTTTTCATTATTATTAGGTATTCAGCATTCAGTTAAAACTATTGTCCTGCCTTTAAAAAAAGTTGTCTAATTTTCATTATGATTTTTTTTTCTTTGACACATGTTATTTTTAATTTAAATATTTATTTAGTTTTAAGATGCTGGAGGTGAATGGAACCTAAGGGCCCTCTATGAGTGAGCTGTATCCACAGACTTTTTTTATAGGGATCTTGTTGGGTTACCCAGGCTGGTTTTTAATATGGGAACCTTCTGCTTGCCCCAGGCCAAATACAGGCAGAGGCCACCATGCCTCACCTCTAGCTTGCTTTCATGGTGTTCAGAGAAGATATGTGGCATGATTTCATTCTTTAGAATTTTTGAGATTTGGTTTATGTTCCATTTTCATATTCACTCAAAAAAGAATGCATATCCTTTAGTTGTGATGTTGCAGTGTTGTAATAAAGCCCATTAGATGAAGGCTGCTCATCATGTAGATGAGCTGTTGCCTAGTTCATCAGCTCCTAAGTAATGAGTCTTCCATTTTTGCATAATTTAATTGCTATGTATTTTCATAAACATGAGGTATTTCAAAGTGCTAGCTATAGGATGCAGCACTAAATGTATGTATTTTGAAGAAATTAAACATAGAACTTTGCATGTACCCAGTTCTCTGTAGCAAACATGAACAAATATATGCATTTAAATAATAAATTTCTTTAGAAAGTTTCTTAGTTCAAAAACAGATAAAGTAATATCTACTCAAAACTTTCACAACTCACTTTCATATAAAAATGTATGTATCAAATTTAGTTTTGTATCAGCATCATACTAAAGTATATAGGCAGTGTAAAAATCAGTACATTACATAACAGAGATTAATAATATATTTATATACAAAACATGCTCCTCGAACATTGAGGTATTATTACTATACTTAAGTGTGAACTTCCAGTCTGATACTGGCTGCAAAATCTCCTGTCATTACCCAGGACATACACAAATGGCAGGTGTGTCAATGGTGTTTACAGAAATATTCCCCAGAGGCATCAAATGGCAACCTCCATACATGGAATGTGCTGGAACTTAAGCAGCATTGTAAAAAGAAGGAATGACTGTCTGTATTTTGAAAACTGGAATAAACAAGGTGACTTTCACAGCCCCAAAGTCACAAACTCCCATGACTGTCATGGAGGTGAAATGCAGGAAACTGAAAAGCCACCCAGCACCCTATCATGTGGGATCTCCCAGGTCCTGGTTGAACCACACACATCCTTCCCCCCTCCCAGATACAAATGACAGAGACCCAATTTGAAAGTAAATCAACATTAATAATGTCAACACAATGTTTGTTTAAAAAAAAATCAAAATGTGGGTCTGGGGTTGTAGCTTAGTAGTAGGAGACTTGACTTGCATGCATGAGGCCCTTGGTTTGATCCTCAGCACTATATAAATAAATAAAAAATAATGATGTTTTGTCCATCTACAATGAAAAAATATATTTTCAAAAATTGAAATATGCAAAGTGGCACTAACTGCCCATTTGAGAAAGGTTTAGCACGTTCAACTGAATTCAAATTTCTTTAGCAACTGCTGCTGTCTTTCCTGCAATCTCTCCTTTTCCAGCAGAAGATAATGCTCCTTGGCCTGGAGGTAGTGAATGTATTCTGTGGCTTTTCTCAAAATGACCACCTGGCTGGCCTTCTTATTCTTCACCAGCTCCAGCATGAGGTCCTTGAGCGTGAGCAACTTGGATCCCAGGATATGGCGGCGCTGGCGCTCCATGATATTTTGTTTGCAGCGATTCTTGAGGTACCCCAAGTTTGAGTGTCCAGTGCTCAAGCTCTTAGCCTTTGGGAGGTTGAAACTCTTGAGAGGTTGTGGGGGCTCTTCACTCTTGATCTTCTTCTGGAGTGGCACAACCTCACTCTGCACGTAGGGTGAGAATATGACATAGTTGTACTGCTGGTCGACATCGATTTCCTCTTCTTCATCTTGCTCCTCATCATTCTCCTCATCTTTGATTAAAGAATGGAGGAACATTCATGTGAGACACGTGTGAGCAAAATGAACAGACTTATATATAATTCTTGGGTCTAGTTCCCTCATGGCAGGCCATAATAGGATATGCTATAATTTTGGATCCCTCAACATGTGGAAAGAATGTACTTATTGTATAATTCTTTATATATGGAAATAACTTTTCCTTCCCCAGAACCCCAGAGTACTATCAATTTCCTTCTAAGATTTTTGCAGGTGGTACTGTGGGTGTAGCTCAGTGGTAGAGAACTTGCCTATCATGTGCATGGAACTGGGCTCCACACCAGCACCATACAAAAACAAATGCAAAATAAAAAACAAGAACAATAAAAACAACAACAAAACATTTAGCAAGTGGCTGAAATACAAGGAATCTGAGCTTGAGGTCAGACAGAATCCTTGCTCTACAGTACACTAGCTGCAAGATCCTGGGCAAGATACAGAAGAACCTTTCTCAGCCTCAATTACTTAGCTCTGCAATGGAGATAATACCACAGCACCTTTGAATTTGGTGAAGAATATATAAACTTAGCCCAGAGCTGGGCTTAGGAGACAGATATTCAGTAATAGGACCTTTTAGCATAATTGCCAGTCAATCTGCCCCCATGGACTCATGTACCTTTTCATCTTTGCAATTTCAGGAGTCTCATTTGTCAAAACTCATTGCTGAGTTTGATTTTCACTCCTTAAACTCAAGGAACACTTTAATTAACTGAGGAAGAAAAATAACTTTAGTTTCACAAATATGAGTTTCATATAGTAGGCAGTTTTTCACCAAGCAAAGGTCTAATCTTAAGTACAGAGCCATAACTCACAGCAGCTACACACTCCTTAATGGGAGCAGCTCCTAAGTCACCAACAATAACAGCAACAAAAAAACATGTAGCAGCTTGTGTGGGTTTTCCCTCCTCTCCTCATTTACTACCAAACTAGGATAGAAAATTATTGTTTAAAATGCAAGCATGAAAATCAAAACACAACTTAGGCTTGATCTGATTGGGAATGGAAAGCTGAAAATTTGTGGGATTTGTTCTAAAACTGAAATGGGAGGCTGTTCCATTCTTGTGGGTCCCCTTTAGTCTGTGTTTTGATTTTCTTCCAAGAATACAGCTGTTGGAAGGAAAAGCTTCCTCACTGAAACCTGTCAAAGCACAGATATTAAAGGGATAGAACCCTTTCAAACTGCAGGCTTATCACCAAGTTCCCTTCCAGGAGTCTCAGAAGGGTAGGTTCCCAGCCCTGAAGGAAACTCACACTTTTTATCCATGTGCAATGTGGAAACAGTGGTTCTCAAGTCCCAAGGAGGCCCAGCCTCAGGCTCAAAGGACAAGGGATATTCTAGTATTTGGGTGGAGTTCTGAACTCCCAGAGCTCCAGGTAAAAGCTTGTTGTTTTTTTTTAACCCTTCCCATCTATTTAAGATGCAAATACTCACAAAGAAATAGTCTCTGAGCCCTACCAGGATGTTTGCATTTCTGGAGGGGTCCTAAGTGCTCACCCTCATCTTCAAGAGCACTGGGTTACAAAAACAACTCAGATCTCAAAGTAAGCCTGGTATTATGGCTAGGAGGAAAAACTGGGTCTAGTTTTCAGGAAGACCCACATTTTGTGGGGGGGAGCGAGAGAAAGAAAATCAGTGGCCACCATCTATACAGTTTCCTTCTAACTTCTTGTGCCCTAAGTAGGATCTTGTACAGCTCTTGTGTCTTTTGGGGGAGTCTTTCACTTTCTATAACCAGGGCCTGAGTCCCTTTCCACTTTGGCACTAACAGGTTTTTGCCCAGGAAAGCATGCAGCAGCCCTTTAATCCCCACACGGGTTGGCCACCCACTTTTCCTTGAAATGAAGATGGGGGATCAGGGTGAGAATAGAGACGGCCCAGATTAAGGTCCCCAAAGAAGGTGGAAACAACTTCAGGGAGGTCTATCTTTGACCATGAGGATGCTTGCGATAATCAGGACCACCAACGCTCCTGCTCCCCAGAGCCAAAACACCAAAGGTAACGAAGGGACCAGGACCCTCAGCTCCATGGCTCCAGGGAGGCAGCCAGACCACAAAAGGCTTTATCTTAGTCACTCAAGACATCCTCTCCGGGGGTCCTGTGGTCACCACCTTTGGCAGGGCCACCGCCTAAGTGCAGAGGGGAGGTCACCTTGGCACCAGCTGGGGCTGCTCCAGCAACCACAGCACCCAAGGCACGGGCACCAGCCTGGGCGATGGACACAGGTGTGGATTCCCGCTTGTTCACCGGGAAGGGAAAGACCAAGCAGGGATCCATGAGCTCCGCAGGTAAGACTTCTCCAGCACGGCAGGCTCTGGCCATCCTGCCTCACCCATTGCTCCCAGGGCTGCCAGCTCCCGCTCCCGGGCCCAAGGCAGCCGGACTCGCGGCAGGCAAACCGCGGCAGTGTTGCAACTTCTTGTTCAACGCCTGCACCAGCTTCTCGCCAACCGAGAAACGGCTCCACATGCAGTCCTGGAGGATGAGCGGGTTGGGTGTCAGGCCGCCAAGTGCCCACAGGCTAAAGGCTTCGTCCTCCTCGGCGTGGTTGCCAAACAGGTCGGCCTCCGGCTGCAGCATTTCAGTGGCCCTGTAGGAGGGTTCCGGACTGCGTTCCTGGAACGCACAGCTGGAAGACAGGGGAAGGATAGGCAGCAGCTCAAACTTCTTCCAGCTGTCCTCCCCTGGGAGGGTCGAGTCAGGGCCACTGAAGTAGAATTCATCTTCGTCTGGGTAGAAGCAAGTCTGCAGCAAGTCAAACCCAAGGTCTGGGTTCTTGTACATCATGCCCGGCTTGGTGGACGTAGTGCAACTCAGCATCGCTGTCCTCCCAGCTGGCGACTAAGCACTTTTTCCACTCTTCTCTCTTTAATCCGGAGGATGCTTCCTTCTTACCGGATGTGCGGAGGGCGTGACGCTCCCTAATTTCCACTGGTCTTGTAGACTGGTGGGATCTGGATCCCTAGGCCATTCTGTGCTGGAGTCTCCAGGTGGGCTGTGGGGGCTGCGGTCCTAAGGCGGCTGCAGTCTGTGTGTGCTTGCGCCTGGCTGGAGCCTCCTGGCTCCAACCGAGTTCCCAAGAGCCCCTTCCCCCGCATCCACCCAGCGCATCCAGACTGATGACTGTCACAGGCCTGAATGAATGTTCTCAACAGCGTACGATAACTGGTTTGTCCATTTTTCATTTTAATTCTGTCTGGTTTTCACATATGTATTTTGAAGATGTTTAATTAGGTCCACACTAACTTAAGATTGTTTATGCTTTGTGAAAGATTTAACTGGCACCATTGTGTTATATCCCTCCTGCAATTGGTATTATGCGTGCCTTGTATATGCATTGAAGTTTTATCTTTTCAGATATTAAAAGTCAGAATAAAAATAAATACATGGCCTGAGTGGTAGTGTTTACCTGTCATCCAGTGGTTTGGTTAGAGAGGCCAACCCAGGAGGATGAAAGTTCAAACCATCCTCAGCAAAGGCAGGGCACTAAATAACTCAGTGAGAGCATGTCTCTAAATAAAATACAAAATATAGCTGGGATGTGGCTGAGTGGTTGAGTGTCCCTGAGTTCAATCCCTGGTATCCACATCAAAAAAATAAATGTATAAAGGAAGAGACAGAGGGAGGAAGGCATGAAGGAAGAAAGGAAGACAGGCAAGTAGGGAGAATTGGTGAAGATGGCATCATTTTTCAAAAATATTTTAATCTTACATGGACAATTAGATCTTGCAGGGAATTAGGCTGGATCCCTTACAAGCTAGGGAATATATGTGAAAAATGACTTATAATTTCTCAGCAATTTTAATATGTGAGAACTAAAGGAGCCCAGGTATTTATGACACTGTAATTTGTAAGGTCATCAAACAATGTCTTATGGGTCATATATGTCCTGGACTTATCAAAAGGTAAGGCAGAATAGTTAAATGCATGAATTCTGGGGCTGGGGTTGTGGCTCAGTGGCAGAGCACTCGCCTCATACATGTGAAGCACTGGGTTTGATCCTCAGCACTACAAAAAATAAATAAGCAAAATAAGGATTTTTTTAAAAAATGCCTGAACTCTGAAGTCATATAGTCTGGATTCAAACTCTGCTTCCACCACTTATAACTGATGCAAATTTATAATCTTATGTTCCATAATTTTCTCATAGGTAAACTTATAACTTATGGAAATTAAATGAGAAAATGTTGCTAAAGGCTTAGAAGAGTGTCTGGCATGTAATAAATGCCCACTTTAGCATAAAGTGGAAAATGCAAGTTTTCTAATTATTTATTGATTGTTTTCAGACTAATATATGAATCTTAAACTGTTACTGTTGTAGGTACAGAAGAGGTAAGGCACTGAAGACAGCAGGAAATAGTTTTATTTGGCTGCAGCCAGGTTCAGAGGGCACAGCTTTTGCTGTAGTCAATCAATGTTTCCCCAAGCTTTGGAAGTACTTTGCCTTCCACTAGCAACGTGTAAGTGATGCAGTTTTTCCACATTCTGAACAACACTCAGTAATATTTGTCATTTGATGATAGCCATTCCTGCAGTATCGATTTGTGCTTTCAATTTTTACTTTCCTAATGCCAAATGACAGTTTGCATGTTTTTGTATGTTTCTTACCATTCCAATATCAGTTTTGGTTAAATATTTGTTTATTAAAAGCTCTGTCTAGCCATTATTATTAATCTATTGTTTCACCATGGGAATATCATACAGAATAGTTACAATTCCCTCAAAATCCTTGTTTCTCAGCCAGATGTTTTGGTGCATACCTGAATCCCAGAAGCTTGGAAGGCTATAACAAGAGGATCAGAATTTCAAAGCCAGCCTCAACAATGTTGAGGTGCTGAGCAACTCAGTGAGAGTCTGTCTCTAAATAAAAAATACAAAATAGGCCTGGGGATATGGTTCAGAGGTTGGGAGCCCCTGAGTTCAATACACCATACCCACCCTCCCCCCCACCCAAATCCTCTTTTCTTTGCTCACTCCTTTCTCACTAATAGATGGCAATCTCTGATCTTTTTACTATGTTCAGAGTTTTGTCTTTTCCAACAAACTATCTATTTTGGATATTGATTATATCAGTATAATTTCAAGGACTATAACACACACACACTCATAACAAATACTAATATATTATTAGTGGCACAGGATGTTAACTTGAGGCAGCTCTGCTCATGTGGAGCAAGGAGTATATAAAAATATCTCTGTAACTTCCCTTAATTTTTCTATAAACCTAAATTTTTCTCTTAAAATGAAAAAAGAGAGATCCATATATCTGGAGACATAAAATAAATAATATCTACATCTTGCTCAGAAAATCTTTAAATATATGAATACTCTAAATTTATGAAAAGACACTCTTTCTCAAGGTAACTCAGATAGTGGAAAAGCATAAATAAAACAATGATCATGGATGACTTCTTGAGTAATGGTTTATTACCATTTTCTCTCATTAGAGTAAATACAAGAGGAAAAATGTTAGGAAATAAAAGTATAAAATCATCCCAGAGGAATAATACGCACTGAAAATAATTCTTCTATTTATCTCTAGTGGCAAAAATCAAAGAATTATTTTATAAAGAAGCAAAAAGGAAGAGAAATATCTGAATTTTCTTTGACTGATTTCTTTTTCTATTTTAACTTGATTATGAAGTAGAAAAGAATTTCTCATTTTGAAACCAAAAAAGGGTGGCATTTTGGCTTTCTCACTCTGACCTTGTGTGGATTTTCGATTTGCATATTCCATCTCAACTGCAGTATTTCTCAGTATCAAGGACTAGATGCACAGCAGAGCTGTGCTTCTTAATGTATCATCTGTTCACAATGGTTTTGCATAATGGCTCTATGTTGCTTGGAGATGTGCACTTAATTGCAGCAATCCATACAACACTCTGTAATGCTACAAACCTTAATTACCTTTTCCACATATTAAGGGGATTCGAGGAGAGGGAAAATTCATCTAGATGTTAAAGGAGAATTCACATAGTTTTTCCACAACTAATATGTCATAAAATATTAAATGACAGTTCCTTTACTCTAAAGAACTTTTTGAAGAGTAAAGTATGAATAAATTCTACACATCTTTTGCCACAGTGGGAGGGGAATAGTTTATTTAAAACAAAGACAAACTGAGGAAAAAGTATTCTATCCTAATGTCAAATTTAATGCATGTGCTCTTCATCTTGGCTTTCAAAATTGAAAATTAGCATAGATATCTGGACATACTATCTTAATAAGAACATCATTCATTATAACATTCTTTAAACATCACTGTAGAGCCACAGTTGGCTTTTATTTCATATTTAGAAATATCAATTTTAGCTGTTTAATTTGATAAGGTAAACCATATAGAGAAAACAACCTATGATGATAACACAGAAATTTTTTATTAAAAATTTCAAATTTATTAAAATTTGTCTATGCTCAATCTTGTCAGTGCTAGATTTTTTCTCTTTTATAAAAATAAATTTTAAAACCTATTTCTGATAGGTTTTAAAATGCAAACAAGTAATATCAAAGATAGACCAAGATATTATTGACATATAGTGTTAGCATCTCTTCAAGGCACTATATATTCTAAATATTTTTTTTATTTTATCTAAGTCTCGAAACTACTTTATGATGTAAATATTTTTAAGCAAAATTCACAGAAGGAATCTATGGCTTCAAAAATGTTAAGAAACTTGATAGAGCACAAATACTAAATGGCACAAATACTAAATCTGGCACTGACAAAGACTGAGCAGAGATATTTAATTTGATTCTGAGTACTGAAAGGAGAATAGCAATAAGGATATATTCATAACTGAATTATAACAGAATGAAAGGTTCAGAAAAAAATGGAAAAAATAGCAAAAAGAAGTATTCAGACCATTCTTTTAGATATTTTCCTGACATCAAATTTCTTTGTATATCATGAAGTTTTGATATGATTATGATAAAGTTATAATAA